CCCCCCCCCGGACCTCGCGTAGTTGCGTACTGCCTAGTCGGTAGACACGCTCACACAGAGTGAGCATGTCTACCAGCCAGGCAGTTCACAACTACATACTGATACTCCTAATACTAATAAAACATACCTAATTTTTTTCCCAGACAGAACCCTCAAATATTGGACTGTCCAATTCAAAACCGGACACCTGGCAACCTTAGAACAAGGTAATATCTTTTACAGGACCAATTCTGTGTGGCTTGAAAACTTGTCTCTCTCTAACAGAAGTTGGTCCAATAAAAGACATTATCTCACCTACCATTTCTTTCTAATATCCTGGGATGGATGTGACTACAGTTACACAGCATATTCACTGAGTAAGATTCATCCTTGGGCAAACAGACAGCAAACAGACAGCATAAGAAGTCTGTGCATTTCAGGGAGTTTTGTGAAAAGCTCCCTTCTTTAGCTGTTAATGGTTAGCCAGGAAAGCAGGACAAATCTTCAACAAAATGGTTAAAGTCCATTTTGTCTCCTGATCATCTCAAGGTGAGTTCAGAAACCAATAAAAATAGCAGAAATGTGTTGTGATTTATTAATTTATTTTTTATTTTGCAATCTGATTTCAAGTCGAGTCAAAAGTGCTGAATCAAGTGATATCTGCTGGCTGGTGATATTATTTTTAAATGATTATAGTCTTGTGATGCCTAACTGAAAAGTAATGTGAAAGTGCATTTAGTCCTGGATAACTTACAGAGACCCACAAAATGATTCATGAAGCTCTTATGTGAAATCTGAGGTCATAGAGAATTGTTTTTTTAAGTAATGGCTTAGTGAGAAGATGTTTTGAGCCGATCAGTTGGGGACAACTAAGTGAAGTTGGATGTTAAAGTTATTGGATAAATATCTGAGAACTACCATCGCTGCACATTTATATTATAGCATCACTTTTTTAAAAAAGGCTCAGTATTGCAAGCTGCTCAGAGCCCTCAAAATCTTCCAGCTCTTTTTAGTGTGCTTGCCCCAAATCAGTGGCCTTGGGTTGAGAGATTAATTTGCACATGTAGAATAGACATATCCACCCTCATGTCAATGGATGTGGAAGGCTTTCAGGAAGTGCTGCTCTAACGTTCATGTTTAGATGGTATGTAAATGGATTTGCATCTTTAACTCCCCCTCTTAGTCTGGAGCCAAAATGAAAGTTCATCTCTCAACATTTATTAAAGCTCCAAATTTATTTCTCATTATTAAATAATTAAATTGGCCAAAAAAAGGGAAAGGAAGAAAGATTTGTGAGAAAACTGAAGCAAGCCTCTCTGAGAAACTGAACGATAATTCCCAAGAGTGAAGGAAGATGTGGTTGCCAAAACAACATGCAAATAAGATGTGAAAGTTACCGAAAAAGAAGTAACAAGCTACAGATGTTTACATTTTTGTTAAAAATGAATAAATAACATTGAATAGGAATTATTTCAATATTTAAATGATGATTTGAAAGCAGCAGTGGATATTAAAATTGTACTGGCTCTGCCACTGACTCCCTGGGTGACCTTAAGTTACTCACTAGCTCTCTGTGCCTCAGTTTCTTCATCTGTAAATCTGGGATTATGAGACTCACCTACCTATCTGAAATGCCTTTGGATCACTAGATTAAAGGTGCTAACTATTATTTTTAGTGGCTGGGAATGTGAATAAAGGACCCAAATACTACCGAAAATCACTGGAGCTTGGGTACCTCATTCCCTTGAGTACACACCATTCTTATTACATGAAACTTAAATATGGTACAGGAGAGCTGGGAATGGGCTGTGGGATATGACTCTCGAGCCAACTTTTTTCTAGGTTTGGGGATGTTTGCATCCAGAGTACTAATTCATCTTTCATTATTCAGATGTATTTTAAATAAGGATTATACTAGCCTTGAACCCGCCCTGAATGTATTGTTAATGAATGGTGCAGGACTCACCCCTATTGAGTGAAGCCTATTATCCACTCACAGAAAAGCAATGGCACCGCTAAGTAGCAGTGCAATCTTCCTCCATATTTTCCCACCAATAGGGTCCTCAACCATTAGAGGAAATGGTAAGCTTGTGAATTTAGTTCCCATAACCTATTTGGTCCTTGAGGTCTCTGAGATTGTCAGTGAAGGGGAGCACACAGTGCCAACTATGGTGTGGTTTTGTGATGTGGATTCTTAACTACTAGGGATTTGATCAAAACCCACCATGTTTTTTCACATGGACCATGAGACAGCTAACAGACAAGCACTTTCAATCACCATCAAGGCTAGGCTGAATTCAAACTGGCATCCAGGGGTGAAAGACTATATCCCATTAACAATTCTCTGAGGCTAAGTCTACACTGCTGGTTTTTTTCCGGCAGAAGAGATGCAAATCGCACTCTAATTTGCATATCTCCTGCCAAACCAATCCTTTTTGCAGAAGAGGTTTTCCTGATAAAATGCTACGTGTGGCTATTTGTGGGGGGCAAAAAACCTTTTTTGAAAAATCCTGTAAACCTCGTTTTTTGAGGAAGAAGGCATCTTGCAAAAAAGGGTTTTTTTCTGACAAATGGCCCTGTCTACACAGGGCTTTTTAGCGGCAAAATCTCTTCCACAAAAAGGATTGGCAGAAGATATGCAAATGAGAGTGCAATTTGCATATCTTCTGCAGAAAAAACCCCCAGCTGTGTAGACATAGCCTGAGTTTTGCAGTCCCCATTAAAATAGACTTTTATTTAACCTAGGGCAGTGTTTCTCAACCAGTGGCACAAGTACCCATAGGGGTACTTGAGAGAAGTCTGGGGACTATGTCAACATCACTGAAATTTGGAGAAAACTGAATTTTTGTTTTAAGTTTTACAGCACTTTATTATTTTTGTATTTTTTACACCCAAAAATTTCATCGCCCACCTGGTTACGATTAAGTTGTTTAAACAAATGTGTTGCAATGGTAGAAAAGAATGTTGTGTGTCTAAAAACTGTAAGTACTGGGGGTACTTCTAATTTTTTTTAAAGGGGTACTTTATAAAATAAGGTTGAGAAACACTGGCCCAGGGAATACATTGGTCATAATCTCACACTCATTATTGACCCAGGAGTGGTCAACAATGAAATCTCTTATGTTAAGCTGAAGCTGCAATATAGTGTTACAGAAATTAAAATAAATGTGGTATTGAAATGCCATCTGATGGCATAAGTTATGAGCTAAGGCGCTTGCTTAGTCTTTCTCTACTAGTGATTGAATAGCTCAGGTATCTTGTGCAAAAACATGAGAGTTGTAAGAAAAAGACTGCATATTCAGAATGCATCTGGGTCCTTTATCTTACTAAAGCACACGAGGAGGTGGGAAGCAAACCAAACAGAGACAAAGCACTCTCAGGAATATATAAAAGGAAGTAAATAAGCCATTTAGAGGAATGTAGATAAGTGTTTCTTCTCTGTTAAAGAGAAAACCAACCCTGTAAAAGCTGTGTGTGTTTTGGAGTGTTGATAGCTTAGCTTCTAACATTGAACATTTCCATGGTAACAAATCCATAGCTATGGCTTCATGGGTATGACGCACACCAAAACTTCAGGGTGACACTTGGGATACAACTCAGACCATGTGAAAGCACAGGCCCCCTGCTGTGACAGCAACTGGTAACTGACCAGTTCCTGTCAGGGTAGTAGTAACTTTTTGTAACCCTGAATCAAGACAGGTGACTGGGACCAGGAAATCAATGTCCTTCTTATCAGATTTATTACAGTGGCAAACCCAATATTTTTATTTTAAAAACCTTCTTGCCCAGCAACGAACAGAGGTGGGGAATCGGAGAAAGATGCTGAACTAGGAGTGGCAGTTCTGAATCAAGGAGTGGCAGTTCTGAACTAGCTTCATGAAGCACTTAACCTTGGCACTGGTGCCTAGATACTGTGTTAACAGCTACAGTTACAGCAGAATGTGTTGAAAACCAACAGGCTTGGGCTTGTGATTCTGGTGTGGAGTTTCACTGTGGAGGAGCATCAGCTGATATGGCTCTATCTCATGAGTTTTGCCCTCAGCTCAATCAGTTTGTTTTATTACTTGTATTACACAAAAAGCACAGTATGCACTTGAGATAGGTAGGATGACAAGGCTATTATCCCAAAGAGATCACAAAAGATTTTATAAATTGGATGGCCCCTATCACTGCAGTATCAGAATGCCGCACATCTTTAATGTATTTGTCCTCCCAGTATCCCTGTGAAGAATGGAAGACGTATTATCCCTATTTTCCTAACAGAGAAACAGAATCAGAGAAACTAAATGTCTTCCTCAAAGTCATGTGGGAATCCTATATTAGAGAAGGAACTGAGTGTGGGTTTCCTGCAGCCTAAATAGGACCTGTAGCTTAAACAGTAGACCGGCTTTCCTTCCATATCTGGAGAGCATCCATAATTATACTATTGTGTTCATTTGTCTTGGTGGGCTGTGGATGAGTGCCTATTTGTAACAGTAGTGTTGTGCTAGAGAGGCTGGAGAGTTGCTGATGCCTTACGGAAACATTGTGACATATTTAATTTCATCCTTGATATAACTCTACCGACAAATTTCTTCCACTGATGACTTGCAGCAGAAGTGAAATTCCTCATTTTAGATAATTTCTGTTTCTTATCATCTAATATTACTGAGAATGTTTATGGAAAGTCAGGAAGATTTGTTATCAGGCAAATTTATTCCAGCACTGCTGCTTTATCCCCTCCGTGACTTATCATCCTCTCTTGTGACATCATTGAAAGTCGCATGCAGTGGAGGGAGCTATCCCCAAGGGAATAAGCAGCAGAAACAAACTTATAATGATGGCTAGGCTTTCCTACAAGCCTCTGTAAGTATTAGGTGAAAAAGATGGGGTAGAAAGGCAGTGCAATCCTTAACATAAAACCTTTCTCCAAACTGCCTATGGATTTGGTTTCAGATTTGGGGAACAAAATTCAATCCTTGTTGCTCTTTCCCCCCCCGCCCCCTCCCTCTCTTCCTTGTTGCTCTTTCCCCCCCCCCCTCCCCCCCCCCGTTTTATATAGTCTCTCATTTGTATTTTTTCCGAACTTGGAATATAATATAGATGAAAGAGCAATTGCTTTTTCCTTCACAGAATACTTTTTTATGTTTATCTGTGGCAATTACAGCACTGTATGGTTTGTATTTACAGCAAGACATGTCTGTATTAGGGATGTTAAATACCTCATGAAATGTTATTGTTTATTCAACTATTCCATAGGCCCCGGGGTGAGGCCAGCAGCCACTGTATCAAAGGCAACAGCACAGGGTGCCAGGTGAGAGATGGTCTGTGAGAGGAGTCAGTTTTGCTGCTTCTGAGAAAGAGATGGCAGTGCGGGATGGCAGCAGTCCCTGTCTAGGGGGGCTCTGAGCTCCCAGACCCAACATGAGCCGGAACTGAGCTGGGCTGCCTGCCTGTCTGGCTCTTAATACACTTGATATGCAGAGATGAAACGGGAATAAGTCCCGGACCCAGCATGAGCCAGGACTGCACAGGGCTGCCTGTCCACCCAGCTCCTAATACATTTTAAATGCAGAGCCACAGCAGGGGTAGTAGGTTCCAGACCCATCGCAAGCCAGAACTGAGCTATGCTGCTGGTCAGCCTGCTAAAAACTTTACTGGCAGGGAGAGGGAAATGCATATAAGTCTATAGCATTAACTGATAAGCTTTTGCTTTTGCTTATCGGTTAATCAACTATACTATTACATTCCTAGTCTGTATTAGGAATGTGAATGGTTAACCAGTGGCCAGCTGGGTCAGAGCAGCCCCCACCCACGGTGGGTCTGGCTTAGCCGGAGGAACCTGCTTCAGCACAAATAGGGGGCACTCCAGCCTAGTCAGAACAGCCCCAACCTGCAGTGGGCCCAGCATGGCCAGAGCAACACACCATGCCATGGGTGAGTGGGGCACTCCAGCCCACTCAGAGCAGCCCAGGCCCTACAGTAGGCCTGGCATAGCTGAAGCAACCCCTGCCCCTGTCCCCCTTTGAAGCAGGTAACTGGTTAACATAACGTTTAATCGGTTAACTGATTAAATGGGATTTTATATCCCTAATCGGTATTGATTAGAGATGGGTTTGAGTGGCACTATTTGGGTCTGGAGCTAAGCTTCCCTCTCATTTAAGTGGGTTCGGATCCAAGATTCTGCTTCTCTAGCATCTCCAAAGACCTTTTTCAAATAACTTTTTAAAGGAACAATGCAGAGTCCTGTGGCACCTTAGAGACTAACAGATTTATTAGGGCACAAGCTTCCATGGGTAAAACCCATTTCATCAGAAAGTTTATGCCCTAATAAATCTGTTAGTCTGTAAGGTGCCGCAGGACTCCTCGTTGCTTTTGCAGGTAGACTAACATAGCTTTTAGACTTTTTAAAGGAGTGTGATGATGCAAAGTCTCATGCTACCAAGAGTGTCAGATGTCTTGACACTGACAGCATGCCCCTGCATCTTGGGACCAGTGTTAATGGTCTTATTTCTGTGCCTAAGAAAGCTCATGGTACCATCTACATTTTTTGTTAGTCTTGCAGTAGGCTAGAGACTATTAGTTGTTTTTTAAGTTTTTCCAGTTAGACTAACTTGGCTACACCTCTTAGTTCATTAATAATTATTAATTGTTCAATAATTGTTCTATAAATGGATATTTAAATGTTAACACAATTAGCAGGGTGCAGCACAAGGATCTGAAAAATGAACAGCACTTTTCTTAGTACCCCTTCCCCTAAGAAGAGCAATACTGGGTCAGAACAATGGTCCATCTAGCACACCATCCTGTCTGTCAACAGTGGCCAATACCAGATGCTCCAGAAGGAGGGAATGCAATAGGTAATCCTGAGGAGAGCTCTCCCCTGCCACCCATTTACAGACAAATAGAGACTAGGGACACCATTCCTACCCATCCTGGCTAATAGCCATTGATGGACCTAACCTCCATGAATCTATCTAGCTCTTTTTTGAACCCTGTTAAAGTCCTAGTCTTTCCAACATCCTCTGGCAAGGAGTTCCACAGGTTGACTGTGCACTGAGTGAAGAAAAACTTCCTTTTGTTTGTTTTAAACATCATCATCATCAGGGCTTGACAAACCCCGACAAGAGCTACTCACCAGCCCCGGTGCTGCGCACATGCAAAGCGCCGTTGAATAGGGTGCACGGAGCAACCGGCTGAAATCTACTCACCATGAAAGAGTAGATTCAGCGGTTTGTTGAGCCCTGATCATCATAATCAATCAACACCTGTTGGTCCGATGCCTCCCTCACTATTTCTATCTTTCCCTGTCCAGTGCAGAGTGGCTTAGTTTCTGTAGACTAGCTCCACAGCTCCACACCAATCTACTATATCAGTGTTTCTTAAACTGTGCTCTGTGGAGCCCTAGGGGCTCTGCAAGACATCTCCAGGGGCTCCGTGAAGTTGACAAACTGGAAACATTGATAGGTACAACACGTACAATCAGTGGACTGCTGGGGCTCCGCATAAATTTTTACGCATGTAAAGGGCTCTGGAGCCCAAAAAGTTTGAGAACTGCTGTAACTATATCATCTCCTCATTCTCTGTGGGGTCTGCCTCTCCTTAACCTGATGCCCATTAATTTTATTTGGTGCCCATTATTTTTATTTCCCTAGTTTTTATATTGTGGGAATAAGAATATCACTTTTCCTTACTCACTTTTTCCACAGCAGTCATGATTTTATAAACCTCTCTCATATCCCCTCTTCGGGCAATTCTAGACTACTTTTTATTTTCAAAAGAGGATATGCAAATTCTGCGGGAATTTGCACATCTTCTTCTGGTCACTTTTTCAAAAGCGGGTCTTTTGAAAGTGAAAGTCTGGACAAGGATTTTTTGGGGGAAAAAGCCCTTTTTCAAAACACCGCGTAAACCTCCTTTTCTAAGGAGCTAAGGAGGATTTAGTCTTTTCTAAGCTGAAAAGTCCCAGTCTTTTTAAATCTCTCATCATATGGGACCTGCTCCAAACCCCTCATCATTTTGGTTGCCCTTTTCTGAACCTTTTCCAATGCCAATGTATCTTTTTTGAGATGAGGCGACCATGCCTGCATGCAGTATTTAAGAGGGGGGCATCCCATGGATGTATACAGAGGCAATACTATCATCACCAGAAGTAAGCACCACTCACCTACATGTGCCAGAGGCCTTCCCTGCTGCTTTCTGCTGAGCTTGTTGCTCACAGATGATGCAATAGCAACAAGATGGTGTCTCCCTGGCATCCTATGATGTCACCCTGTGTGACTGTGATGTCACTGAGTGTAACCAACAGCAGCAAGATGGTGTCTCCCTGGCATCCTATGATGTCACCCCGTGTGACTGTGACGTCACGGAGCGTGACGCCATGGCAGCACTGGGATGCTGTCCCCTTCACAGGGGGCCGCGGGGGAGAGGAGGGGGACACGCGGTTGCCCCAGTAGCACCGCCAGGCCGGGGAGCGCAATGCATGCCGGACTCTAGGCAGCGCGGCTCCTGCCAGGCCCCGAGACGCCCCTCCGTCTCCATGGTAACCTCCCTTGGCTTTCCCCACCCGCACGCGGCTCACGTGACCCGCGCCGCCTGGCGCTCACGTGATGTTTGGTTGCCGAGAAGCTGTTTCCGGGTCAATGCAGGACGCGGCGGCAGGGCGGGGGCAGAGC